ATCAAGTTCTATGTTTTAGGTCTCTCATGCTTGGTTCACGACATGTATCTGACCTCAGAAGCTGTGTGTGTGGACGGGACAGAGTACCCATCTTGATTCCTATATAGCCAGTGACTGAGCGCTAAGGTCAGAGTTGAGCAGGTGCAGGTCTGAAGGCCAAGTCTCCTATTGAGCTTTATGTCTCAGTTTCCTGTCTGTGCAGGGCTGATAGTCACAGTACGTGTATCACACTCATGGGACTGCAGGCTTGGGGTCGAGTGCACTTGCCTGGTGCCACAATGATGTTGTCGTATATTTTATCACAGTTTCCAGGGTAGATGTCAATGGCATTAGATGTACAATTGAGGTCTCTAGAGAACTGTTGTTCTCTTTCCCTCTCCACCACATATGAAGTGGAGCCCCCTGTGATAGGAAACAAAACAATTCAAAATTCTCCCAAATCTTGCTTTGGACAGCACCAAGCAGATGCTCAGAGCAGCCAGCCTGTTGCCATGCCCAGGGAAACTGGTTTTCTCAGGCCACCTTTAAAGGGTGATTTAAACGGTTGGTTGACATATCATTATCACATTTTGAAGTTAAACAGCCACAGGATTTAAGAGCTCTCATCACACAGTTAATTATTCTTGAATTTTTCTGTGCTCTCCAAACATATTCTATTTATTTAACAGTCTCTCGGGGAGCACTGGGTCCCTTTGTCCCCCAGACAGGGCCAGTGGTATAAAACTTCTGCATCTGTCAGATTTCTCCATGTGACACATAATTGCCTGATTTCCATTTGAAAGTGCAACCCTGACATTAAAGCCACATAGACCCACATTGCTAACAATGGCTTCCTGACACCTACTGGGGGAATGGGAGATTGTTGGAATAAACATGCCCCTCAAATGAACACTTGCCTTCGAAGGGGCCAGGTTTGAATGTACAGCTGCAGATGAAGAGCAAACCAAAAAGAATAAAGAAAAGGAAAGCCCCATCTTAGCATCAGCATGAGTCTGTTGCAGCCAGATGGCCCTCTGCGGAGAGTTCCGCTTGCTTTCTTCGGTCTCCAGGCTACCTCAGCAACCTGCTTTCCGGAGGGGACAACACTAATTTCACTCCCCAGCCAGTTGCCCTCTTTCTCTCACACACAATGTGCGCTGAAGAAAAGTTGGAAAAGAGAGAAAGGGTGAAGAAGACAGGGCTGGGAGAGCCGGGCATCTGTGAAGAATGAGTCTAAGCCCAAAGGAGGGTAAGACACCAGGCTGAAGTGAAGCTTCAGGAACTGGCTTTATCTGGCCACAAAGGAAAGAGCCACTAGAGACAGAAGGTAGCAGACAGGGGCCCCAGCAGATTGATAGTTCCTCCTCTGTGTTCATTATGTGTTCATATCTGTGTGAACTTTATGTCCACAACCCAATACTGCCCTTCAGCCTTGGTGTACAAGACACTGGGAACAAGGCAGAAACAGCTATCTCAAGTCCGGTATTGAGCTCTGTGCCCTTCTGGGGCCGGATAGTGGATAATGTTTTCAGCTTCTTACTTAGGAAACTATCACCTCTCTCCATGGCCTAGAAGCCAGTGAGTTTGTCAGTACTTGGCCTATGACCAGCTATCTGCATGGATCTATAAAAGGGCATGCCTAGAATGGGTGCCTGGAGGTAAATGACAAGGGGTGGGGGGCAGACAAGGCAGGGTTCTGGGGTAAAATGAGCATGCCAAGTTTAGGGTGTAGAGGGTTTGCCCCTGGACAGTTTTGCATCTAGGAGTGGCTCAGCTAGAGTCACACCACCCCAAAAAGCATTCACTGCTCATGAACAAGTCTATTATTTGAGCAATAGTCCAGGTTTGCTGGTGGTCATCAGAAAGACCACCAGATGCTGGTGACAACACAGATGTGCAGACAGATGTACACAGCATCCCACAGGCTAGGCTGTTGTTGGAGTAGAAGTTCACATACCTCACCTAGGCTCCAAGACCTCAGCTTAGAAGAAATCCAAGAACAAATTGATGGAACTATTTGGTCTTGAATGCTTCTCCCATGGTCACCATCCTCTGACTACCTTCCCAGAAAGCACCAACCCCTCCCCGCTCCCCACTGGCTCCTCTGATATGACTCAGTCCCCAATCACAGGGCATTCTCTGGAACAGAGTCCTGCATGACTGACCCTCCTCTGGCACAATGAGAAATAAAGTGGCGCCTTCTACTGTGACCCCAACAAAACAAGTTGCAGCTGGGCCAGAGACCATGGGTCTGGCTTTTCTCCTTCCAAACTGAAACAGAAAGGCACCCCACCAAATGGCTGCTTTGCTGTTGGTCTCCCAGGTGATGGTGGGGCTTTTGCCATCGTTCCTTCACCTCACTTAAGCAGGGAGATCCCACACTTCACAGGATTTTGTTTTAATTCTGGCATCTAAAGAGTGCTTACAGTATGAGTGCCTTCTTTAGGAACTTTGTGTACATTTCACACAGCCCTCACGGCAACCCCATGAGGTAGGCCATCTGATAATTTCCGTAATGTTGAAGGATACCAAGGTATAGAAATCTTAAAGAACATAGCTGGGGTTACACAATTGAGAAGTGGCAGAGCCAGGATTCCAATATGGCTCTGTGTGGCTCCTGGGTCCCCTCCGCCAAGCTGTCCTACTTCTCTTGATGATGTGGTAACTGAGTAACACAGTGCTCACCAGCAGTGTGAATTCAGACTGTTGACTCTCCTGTGTTCCCTTTCTGGGTCCATCAAGGTAGAACTCATGAACTGTCAGAGTTCTCTCTAGAAGTTGAGGTAACAGGCATCATCTGCATGCAAGGCTACAGTTGGTGCTTAATAAATGTTACTAGTCACTGTTGGCATGAATATCACATCATCTTTGTGCTCTTCTATTTCATGGACTCTTCACAAACAAAACCTGTGAGCTGGGCCTCAGGGTATGACTTAGTGGGTAAAATGCTTGTTTTGAAAGTCTGAGGACTTGAGTTTGGACCCCCAGCACCCATGTAAAATCCAAGCATGGCAGTGTACATTTGTAACCCCAGATGTACACTGAGGCGGAGGCAGGTGGATCCCCAGACAGGCCCTGACCAGCCAGTCTAACCCAAACCACAAAGTTCCATGATCAGTGAGAGACCTTATCTCAAAACATAAGGTGACGCTGGGTGTGGTGGTGCACACCTTTAATCCCAGCACTCAGGAGGCACAGGAAGGTGGATCTCAGTGAGATCCAGGCCAGTTTGATCTACATAGAGAATCCCAGGCCTACTGGGGCTACAGGGAAACTCTGTCTCAAAAAACCAAACCAAACCAAAAACACATATGATGGCCAGGCATAGTGGCACAGATTTTTCATTCCAGCACTTAGGAGACAGAAAGCAGGGGGGTCACCATGAGATCATGGCCAGCCTTGGATGGTCTATATACTGAGTCACAGGACAGTTGGGACTACATTGTGACACCCCGTCTGAAAAAAGAACCAAAAAATCCCATAAGGTAGAGAGTGATAGAAAACACTCAAAGTCAGTTTCTGACCTCTGAATGCACATTCAGGGGCATGTGTACCTGCACACAACTGCACACACACATACACTACATATACACACATATTCACACTAAACCTCTGAGGTACACAAGGGAGCAGTCACTACTCCATTTTATATCTCATGTATTTTGTAGGGAGGGGCTTACTGTCATGTGAACCTAGGACCCTACACCTGCTAGGTAAGTGCTCTACCACTGAGTTACCACATCCCCCATATAGCTGATGAAACTGACATGCAACACAAGAGGATGTGGAGCTGGGACCAGAGCCTATAGCTCTTGACCTGTTCTTTGTATTCAGTCTAACCCAGACTTGCTCTTCTCTGTTGTGCTACAGTGACTTCTGTCCATTTCTAAAAGGTTGTCAGGATATGAGCAAAGATTTCAACTCTTGTCACAACCCTCCCACCTCCACCCCGCCTCTGGGATTGGCTTTGGACAGAGTCCATCCAGTCTTGTTCATATCCTCCTGGGAGGCGCGAATGACAATTGATGCCCCTTGGGACAGGTAAGTTGCTAATAAGAACAAGTCATAGCTCATTGTGTCCTTAAGATTGTCTTTATCATCTAGATCCAAAAAACACTTATTTTCTCACCATCCCAAATGGAGCAGCATGGACCACAGACAACTTCTGCCTGGCCCCACCTACCCTCCTTCCCTGGTCCTACAGGTGGGTGAGGCTCTGAGAGCAGTCCCTACTCTCTTCTCTACAGAAGGTGATTCTACACCTAAAGCTAGAGGCAGTGGTGAGGTCCTGGCCAAGGGACCTAGGTGTCTGGCTACACTTGGCTTTATTTTCATACTTTCCTAAATTTGCCCTTTGGTGATTTTCACATTTTCCTCTTCATTTTACTTTCAGGGGGAAAAAAATCTCTGGGGGAATGTAGCTTTGATTCTATTGCCCCATATAATACCCAGGGCTAGTAAAGGAAAGGATTTCCTTTCTCAACCCCTGGCAGAATGCCTTCCACATCTTGGCTATGTTAGGGGTGATTTATGAACTGCAAGGTCTGGGGCTCTTTTCAACTCCTCTTCCTCTTCTCTCCCACCACACTTAGAGCAGAGTATGGCACCAAAGCTTCAAGGTCAAGGTGTCCTGTGGAGTTGGTCCCTAGGGCACCTGTCCAGGCCAAGGCTGGGAAACTGTGGGCATGAGAACTGGCAAACAGAAACACCCCACAGACCACGTCAGTCTTTTGGAGAACAAACAGGCCAGACTCAAGGTCGAGGGCTGGCTTTTAACCATGATTGTCAGAGCGTATTTTACAAACCAGTCAGGCTTGGGTTTCATTTCTAGACTTTTATTCTCAAAAGGACGATGAGGCAGAGAGGGAGTTGAAGACATTTTGAGCTGCAAAATGATTCTAAGTCACTTTTCTTTGCTGCCATGGAATAGAGAAAATGAATCCCAGAGGCATGGTTTGTTTTGCTTTGTTTTCTTTTCTTTCTTTCTTTCTTTCTTTCTTTCTTTCTTTCTTTCTTTCTTTCTTTCTTTCTTTCTTTCTTTCTTTCTTTCTTGACTACAGCAAAACACAGAAAGCAGACAGCACGGGGTGATTAGGAAAGGGGCCTATCTTGGTCTGATCTGAAGATGCCTGACCAGCAGCTGCCTCCATGGAGTCTTGTCCTGCCACAGGGCTCCCAGGAGGTGTGGCTTCATCAGAAGCTGCAACAAGACAGAGGCGTCAATGAATAGAGTCTCCAGCTAGCCTTCCTGCAATCCAGGCCCCTGGGAATACAGTGAGGCACTTTTGGCCTTTCCTACCTCTGTGTACAAGGTCTTCACAGTTACAAAGACCATGCCCTGCCCCCCAGCCCACTCTGTTTTCTTTTCTGATATGCTGTTACCTTGTCACACCTTTACCTCGGCACCAATTCACTGCTCTTGATGGCCTGTAATTGTCAGTGTTCTAGGCAGCAGGGTCACAGGTGCCTAGACCTGGTGCCACATGCTGGTGGCATAGCACTGCTTGCTTGTGACTGCCATGTTACTTAATCTCTCTGAATCTCATATTTCCTTATCTGTAAAATGGGGAAAACTAATAATTAAATTAGATGGATTATATGAAGTGATTTACAATAATGCCTCACATAGAGTAAAAACTCCAAGATACTAATTCATCCAGGTATGGAAGCCAGAGAGAAGACCCAGGGATAGAGCTGCCTCTAGGCTATGAGCCAGGAGAGGAGGGAATGGGGCCAGAGAAGATGGCCACAAGAGACTGGCTGCAGATACTGTCCTGCCCCCTGCTGCCCACCTGCTCTGTGGTTTCATGAGGAAAGGTCACTGGCTGAGGTATTAGTCACATGTCATCTCCATTTCCTTCATTACAGTAATCATTGTTCCACAGACACTGAAGTTCAGAGCTGTGAGGCAAACCAGAAAACAAGCAACCAAGTCTGATCTCCATACCCAAATTCAGGAGTAGCCTTCTGTGACATCAGGGTCTGTTAGGACCTCAGGTTTCTTCACAAACCTGTGTCATAATTGGTTTTCCTTTAAGATATGAAGAGAAGGCAATTTCCAGCACAATCGTACTGAGACATGCCCCTTTCCTAAAGTACAGCATGACTGAATATAAGTGGTGGCATGGAAATGTTGGCCTTCTGGACTATCTCCAGTCTCATGTCCTCAGGCCCAGAAGAGGTAAAGACTGGATGGAGCAAAGAAGGGGGTGGGTGATTCCAGACAGGTAGGGCCATATTTTGGGGTAACTCTAGTAGACAAGTTATATAGAATATTTAAACTGGACCTAAGCTGACAGGAAGTCAAAAGTCCATAAAACTCTCAAATGTAGACTTTTTTTCAAACATGACATTTTAGTACGGTATAACCAAAGTGGACTTGCTAAGTAATGATGTCACTAGTTAATGGTTTGATAGCTGTGGCATATTCTGTCTCTGTCTTCTCTGTCTGTCTCTCTGTCTCTCTGTCTCTTTCTGTCTCTCTCTTTCTGTATCTGTCTCTCTCTCTCTCTCTCTCATCAGAAACCAAAGATTGTATCATGTTTAACAATATGTTTAAGTCTTTTGAATTTGTTACTTATTCAAATATTAAGGTTTTTTAGCTGATTCTCTACTAATTTTATTTCTTTCATTTTGAATTATGAGTTTATTGCAGTATTAGAGTTCTTAGAGATGTGACAATTATTATAATTTTAAAAGTGGTTAAATTCCTCAGAAACGGACCATGCAAGTTAAATAAGACTGTGTTTTTTGAAAAGGTTTGAATTGACTTTTGCTTTAGTATCATCGCAAATACAGAAAAACAGGTCGGTGCAGAGAAAGGTGTGCTTTTTTCCCTATTGAAAACACTTAGGGTTTGAGGGATGGTTCCTAGGGGAAAGCTGCTTAAGCACAAACTGGTGGGCGTAGCAGCCTGCCTGTAATCCCAAGCAGGAGGCAGAGACGGAATCCTCCAGCAACCTGGCTCTCTAGACTAGCTGTGACACTTAGCTTTCCATACTTCAGAACGGTTCAGAAAGGTTGCTGAAAGACTTCTGAGCTGAGCATAGGGTCCCAGCTTTGCTGAGAAGCTGGCTACAAACCAGCTGGACCCCAGCTAACTGGACATATCTGGAAAGAGGACTCTAAAGTAAGGGGCAAGGAACCTGAAAACAAAGTGACCACAAACCCATCCAAGAATTACCCCAAAAGGGGGATTGCAAATGGTGGGAAGTGTTCTTGTTTGGCAGAGACAATTTGAAGTGAATCAGCAAAGTCCCAGCAGGCAGACCACTAAACCCTAAGCTTGATTAGGAGAGAGACCCTTACCCCTAAAGTTCTCCAGAGGAACAATTAAGGGTTGGCTTAAGAAGTCCTTAACCTGCTGGGAATCCAGCAAGTAGACACCTCTGACTTGTGATTTCTAAGGAGGGGTTACCTCAAGAGAGGGGCCTAGACTACTTGCCTAAGCACTATATGTAAGTAGGCCTGGAAAATATTACTATAATTGTTGGGAGAATCAGTTAGGAGACAAGTCAAAGCAAGCTGAAATTTGCAAAATGCATTACTGGGGCCTGAAGAGATGCCAGAAGAGAGCTTGCCAGCAGGGACAGCTGAAGAGCCAAGTTTTTAGTCCATACTTAAAGGTGGTTGCTTAAATTTCTAAGTCAACACACACTGATTTCGTTCTGGCTCAAAACTCCTGTTTAATTGCACTAGGGAGTCTTCTCACTGACACATCTAACACCCAAATTCACTATCTAGTGAACGAAAAGCATGCTATTGAAGTGTAAACAAGGTTCTAGGTACAGCCTTCAGGCCTGGGTCATGCCCAGGGCTTCCTACCATCACAGCAGAAGGTGGCTGGGCCACACAGGGATTCACTGGAGCTCTTTTAAGAAGGCTGAGGGAAGAGGAAGAACTGGCTGTAGAGAGGTCTCTGCAGTATGCCTGGCTGCTGCCAGGATCTGAGATCCTATCTCGGGAGTAATGGCACCCACCCACCAGAGCAAGGAGGAGTCAGAGAACTGCCTGTATCCCTCAACCAGGAGCCAAGTCAGATAGAAGAGCATACCAAACAGCCATTGTGTGCAGCAAGCAGATGACAGTGTGCTGAAGTGGTAGAGATGTGGCCAATGAGAGAAGCCTTGAGTGTTTATTCAACTCTCCATGGCCTGGGAAGGAGGTAAATCTTGAGGTAGCAAGATTCTCTGGTCTGGGTTCCAAGTCTTGCTGGGCTTTGGCTTCTGGAAGAAGCATGTCTCCATGATGATGCCCAGGAAGGGACCAGGGTGATTGTAGGGGTGGGGCTCCCACACTGACTCTCTAGCAGTCTTCACTACTCTTCTTTGTTTTATTTATTAATATTATGTGTATATTGCCTGCATGTATGTAAGTGCACCTGTGTCATGCAATGATGGCAGAGGTCAGAAGAGGTCATCAGATGTCCTGAAGCTGGAGTTATGGAATGTTGTTAGCTGCCATGTGGGTGCTGGGAACCAAACCTGGGTCCTTTGCAAGAGCAACCAGTGCTCTTTCCTGCTAAGCCACCTCTCTAAGAACCCCATAGTTTTCACTACTTTTGTGTACCTGTTTCCTCAGACTTGAAACGTGTTTTCCTAGAGGGAAGACAGAGGCCTATAAGACTGAGGAAGGTCAGAAAGCTACAAGATTTACAAGGCTCCTCCCCAGAGCTATAAAAGCAGTAAACAATGACTGGGGAGAGGGGTGTTAGATAACTTTAGTGTCAACTTGACATACCTGGGTTGAGGGAGCCTCAACTGGGGACTGGCCTGTGGCCTTATCTATAGGGAATTTTCTTGATTGTTGAGTGACAGTGACGTGGGAGAGCCCAGCCCCCTATAGGTGTTGTCACCCCTGGGCAGGTGGGCCTATGCTGTATAAGAAAGAAAGCAGGTTGAGCAGGGCCAGGGGAGCAAGCAGTGTTCCTCTATGACCTGTGCTTCAGCTCCTGCCTCCAGGCTCTGAACCTGAGTTCCTTCCTTGAGCTCCCTGATGAACTCTGACCTGGGAGATGTAAGCCAAATAAACCCTTTCCTCCCCAAGTTGGTATTGGTATTGTTTTGTCACAGCAATGGAGAAACAAACTCAAATAGGAGGAAACACCTGAGTGGAGCTGCCTACAAGTTGAGCAAAGAGCTCCAGGGATGCCATGATAACATAAGGAGTAAATGATGTCCGTGTTTCTGCTGTGTCTCCTGTTCACTGCCTCACTGTTCCCCCCTCCACATTCCAGCTATTTTTGCATCCTTTTACAGTATTTTAAATGAGTAATCAGAATGTATGTTGCTGTCCATAAGAAATGGAAAAGCCAGTAAGTTATAAAAGACTGAGTTTTTCTTTATTCAAGGACCTGCTTTAGTGAACTATCTCTCAAGACCTATGTTAGCACATTAATAAATCTACTTCCTGCATAAATTGCTTTGATGGGGGAAAATTAACCTAATGTGGAATTAATGAACTATGACCTCAGTATAATTTTGTTCTGTGTGGTAGATGAGTAAGTACTAACAAATATATTTGACAAGAACCTTATGTACTCCTAGTAAGAAGTATGCTTGTTGATATATGTAGAAATAACAGTTAGGACTTTGGAAGTTTCTACTTGTACTCAAATTATAAAGGCCACTCTAAATTCAATCTCAGATAAGACAAGGCAGACAAACAAAACCTGCAAGGTGAGCATCTTGGGAAATGCTGCCTCTTTCAGTGGTCTTTGAGGAAAACACCTGCTTCAATGTGTCTTACTTGTTAAAGAGCTAAGATTGTTCTGGCATCAGTATATTACTGGGAAGCATTACAACCCCATACTTGCCTGAAATATCTGCTCCTATATAAAATACTGTTTGAATTTCTTATAATAACCTAAGGGGAATGTGTACTTCTGTGCTGGAAGTCTCAAATCTACCACTATGATTACTGCCAAGAGATGATGTGAGGAGTCACATAACAAACATGTACCTGGGGCTGGAGAAATGGCTCAGAAGTTAAGAGCACTGGCTGCTCTTGTAGAGGACCTGGGTTTGATTCCTAGCACCCACATGGCAGCTAACAACTCTCTATAACTCCAGTTCCAGGGGAATCCAATGCCCTCTTCTGACCAGCAGTCATTGCACAACAGGGGTGCACTTACATACATGCAGGCAAAACACTCATATGAATAAAATAAAAATAATAAAAAATTTAAGACCCTATACCTGT